CCATGTCCAGCGTGGCCCTAACTGACTCTCATGTTTTGAGCATTACCGCCGTGGTCGGTAACATGTCTGCATATTTCAGGTGTAGTATGCGTGGTAGCTGATATAGGTGTCGCAGCCCCTGTCTGCATGCCCATTGTGCTTCTATGTGCACCCACTGGGGGGGTCTTTCACTGAGTTGGTCGCTGCTATGGCTGCCAACAGCGTGGGTAATTTTTATGTCGGGCATACTCAATCCCCCGTCTCTAATCGGTCTTTGTAGGAGTCTGGTAGCTACCCGTATCTTGCGGTTAGCCCACACAAAGCGTACAAGCATCCTTTGAATGGTGATCAGGTACTGTCCGGGCAGATGGATGGGGATTGTGCGTAAAAGTTATTGGAGTTTGGGGAGTATTGACATTTTAATTGCTGCCAGTCTGCCCAGCCATGAGAGATATTTGCCCTCCCATGTGTGTAGTGTGTCTGTAAATGATCCGACTAGTTTAATCAAGTTTAATTTGAACAAGTGGGGCAGGTGGGGGGGTATAAGGACCCCAAGGAAGGTAATGTGATCTCTCCTCCAGTCGAATGAGAAGGTTTCACTGAGGTGTCTCTGTTGGCACTGGCAGATTCCTATGCCCATGGCCTGGGATTTGGTGATGTTTAATTTATAGTAGGAGATAAGGTCATATTCTATAATGTTATCCATAATGTTTGGTAGTGAGATTTGTGGTTTGGTCAGCGTCAGCAAGACATTGTCCGCAAACAAATTGATTTTATATTCCCTGTCGCCTACGGTTACTCCGTGTATGGATCTATTGGACCTGATTGTCTCCCCAAGCGGTTCCAGAGCCAGTACGTACAGCAAAGGAGAAAGCGGGCATCTGTGGACACTAAGTATGATGTCTAGGACCTTTCTCATATTGTCCCCCCCTTGTCTTCCCTTTACAAACCCAACCTAGTCGTTTTTGATTATTTGCGGAAGGATGTCTCCCAACCTGGTGGTGAAATTTTCGCAAAGAGTTTTGTGTCCATGTTTAGTAATGAGATCTGGCGAAAGTTTTGTGGGTGAGTGGGTGGTTTGCCCAGTTTAGGCAGTGTGATGATGTGAGCCTTCAAAGCCTACGGAGGCAGTGTTTGCTTTGTGACAGCTTCGTTGAAGGCGCTTGTGAGGTGGGGGGCAAGGATTAGTTGGAAATGTTTGTAGTAGTAGTTGGTGAACCCGTCAGGGCCCGGGGCCTTATCTGTGGGCAGGGAGTCACTTGCCCTCAGCACCTCTGTCTCTGTGACCAGGGTGGAGAGGCTGTCTTGTTGGGTGGGGGTAAGTGTGGGTAGGTGAACTTTGTCTAAAAAATAGGCTATTTTAGGTTCTTGGGGTTGGGGTGTGTTCGGGTCATCCCTAAGGTTATACAGCGATTCGTAATGTTTAGTGAGCGCGTTGCTGATGTCTTTGGGCGCCACTATCCTCTGTCCGTTTGGAGATATCATGTATGCAATTTTTTGGGCCGCTTGCTGTGTCCTCAGTCTTTGTGCTAGCAGTCTGCCCTCTTTGCTTCCCTGCGTGTAGTTTTGTGCATTGAATTTTTTCAGGTGGTAGCCTACTTGGTCTAGGGACATCTGATGTATGAGTCTTGTGAGTTGTATGATTCGTTCCCCCAGCTCATGTGTGGATGTGATTTGGTTTTGTGTCGTGGCATGTTGAAGGTCCGTTTGATATGTAAGGAGCTGTGATTGGGATTTCCGTTTTAGATAGGATGCTCGTCTTATCAGCAGTCAATGTACCACAGATTTATGGGACTGCCATAGGGTGTTGCGGCCTGTATCCGCCCTGTCATTGTCTTGGAAGTAGTGATTTATTTCCTGGCGTAATTCTGCGGTGAATTTACGGTTTCTCAAAAGTGTTGTGTTTAGTCGCCACGGGTTTCTATGTGTCGGGTCATAAAGGTTTTTAAGCGTCAGCTCAACTGGGGCATGGTCGGACCAAGTAATCTGTCCTATTTCGCACTGGGCCACCTGGTCTACCCCCGCCCCCGAGATGAGAACGCGGTCAATGCGAGAATAGGTGTTGTGTACGGTGGAAAAGAATGTGTATCCCCTCTCCCCCACGTGGGTAGCTTTCCACACGTCATAGAGGTGGTAACTATGTATGAGCTTTCGCATTGCCCTACCCTGTTTTCAGAGAGGTGCGGTGCATGCTCTGGCCGAAGCCAGCGTCGTGTCTATTGTGCGGTTGAACGCGTAGTTGAAGTCTCCACATATGATTGTGGTTCCTTGCTGTATGGACTGTAGTTTAAGTATGAGTTTGTGTAAAAAGTTACGTTGGTTCATGTGGGGCATAGATATTCGCTATAGTGTAAGGCATGTTGTTAAGTGTGCCTATTATAATAATGTATCTGCCATCTGGGTCTATATGTTGAGAGTGTGGGATGTAGGCAACATTTTTGCTAATCAGTAAAGAAGCGCCCTTCGTTTTGCTGTCAGAAATTGCATGGAACTGGAGTGGGTAGTCACGCTGCAGTATGTTGGGTTGTGCGTTCGTCATGAAGTATGTCTCCTGGAGGCATAGAACATCTACTCCTTTATGTCTGATCTCTCTATACAGGAGGTGTCTTTTAACAGGGATGTTAAGTCCCCTAACGTTATATGAATAGATTTTCACGGTGATTGGTGGTCATGGGGTTGCGTGTATGCTTGTGCATGAAGACTATGTGCGGGGGAGCCCCTTTGTCCCAGTTCCTTCAAACCCAAGGGCTGTCCCCATGTTACCTGTTGACATCCTTGCGTGTATGTTGGCCTGGAGGGAGAGAGTGGTGGGATCCCTACCCGGTTGTTCCCCGGCAGGTGTCCAGCAGGGTGTACTCTAGTTGGATTGAATATAATTGTTACAAATATAAATAAATATATAAAAATAGGTAAAACAACAGAAACTAGTAAACCATATTTTACAACCATTTTTGCCGAATGTCCGGCTAGGCACCAGGTGGCGGTGCGTTGGGGGTGGGAGCTAACGGCTCTCGTCTTGGCTACGGTTCAGCGGCCGCGGCCTACATCTTTACTTTATCAGGCTCTTGCTTTTGTTTTGTTTTTTTTTGTTTTTTTTTTATGTGTCTGATGGTATACGTTGGTAGAACGTCAGGAGGGAGGGGAAGGGTACACACCTCTGTGTGTACGTTTATACTGTCTAACGCTGGTGCGGGCCATCGCTCCTCTAGTCTTAGTCAATGCGGCCCCCCTTAGTGCCCATCTCTCTGCTGGGCCCTGTCTCCCGGGGGGCTGTTACTGCCTTATCTCGCCTACCCAGCTGACCCCCCAGATCTTAGTCCCTCCTTTCCCCCTGATTTCAGTGCCCTTTGCAAACCTGTGTGCGAATTCTACAGTAATACACATATATTATTCTGTCAATAACTAAATAAAGGAGTTAACATTGCATTGTTTATATAAGCCTGAGACCAAGCAGCAGGATTTTTCTCTCTCAAGCTGGGCTTCACAGTGCCCTCTCAGGGAGGTGAGTTAGCGTTTGGCTTTCCTCCATGATGGAGAGAGTCTCTGAGTCTCTTTTGTTGGGGGTTATATTTCTATACCCCAGCGCCTGAAAATTCTCACCCCTTCTTCTGGATTCTGCAGTGTAACCGTGGCTGGTTCCCTTATTTTCCACTATAATGTCTTAAAGCATAGAACTTAGCAGGGCTTACCATAGAGATATCTTAGCCATAATTTTATATAGTTAGTGTAAGAGATCCTCTATCTTGTCTTGGAAGCAATAGTTTTGTCTTTTATATATTTATTATAAAAATATAAATATAGACATATAAAATCCATTATAGCAGAGTTTATAAGATTAAATTAAATGCTTGCAAATATCATTAATAGGTTAACATACCCTTCTGAACATGTCATCATGTCAGCCTTTCTGTCATTTTAAGATGGAGCAGCATCTGTTTCCAAGTCTCTACTCTGTGTCTTAACATTTAAAAGTACACCTATTTATACCTTAGGTGTCTCCATTTTAGGGTTACGTAGTTCATATATGAAAAGTAACACTTCTTTTACTTTATTCATTTTAGGACCTCCCTTAATTTGGCAAACATACAAGGCCATAACTAAAGGGTGCATACGTCATGGAAATTTTCCTGACTTAGTTCAAGATGGCATCTTAAAGTCTGGACATCCTTATCTACTTAAGGTTACCACAGTATATTGTGTACTGAAAGAGTCGTAGCATAGCCTTGAAGCTTGTTTATGCATTATTGTTATTGTAATTTGTCTGGGACAAAATGGCATAAACATATTATGCACTGAGGTTATTGCTTAAAGAAACAGTTATAAAAAACAATAGGTTCCATTTCTAACACCTTGTCAGTTTGTAATATCTCTTAAAGACAAAGTACACAGTTTAAGAAATACAACATTTCATTCTAAAACTTGTAATATTTGCATTTGCCCATAACAGCAGGATGGTCGTTTTCCCATTCCTTTGTACCACCAATTTCACCGGATATCCCCATCTGTACGGTATGTGTTGTTGGCGGAGTTGCATGGTGATTCCTGCAAATTCCTTCCGACGTTTGAGTGTGTAGGCTGAGATATCAGCGTAGATTGCAATGGCTTGGTAGGCCGTCGGTAAGTCCGCTTTGTTTCTTGTTCTATTTGCTCTCATTACTTCTTCTATTATATGAAAGTAGTGCAATCTTAGCAGCACATCCCTGGGCGTTTCTGTTGGTAAAAATGTGGGTTTTGGCACTCTGTGAGCCCGGTCCATAAGAAACATATCTTGGGGCACGTCTGGGGCGAGGGCTTTGAACAATCCCATGAGGTAGGTCGTAAGTTCTGTTGGGCCTATACTTTCGGCGATGCCTCTGATGCGGAGGTTGTTTTGCCTACCTCTATCTTCTATGTCAGCTGTTTTCCCCTCCTGTGCCTCCATTCTGTCTGAGAGGCTGTCCAGTTTTGCCGCCATGGAGTTGTGGGCCTCTTCATATTCCACCATTTTGTCCTCGATTGAGGCCGTTCTGTCTCCCAGTTCCTTAAAGTCGGAGCGGATGATTTGTAGAGCGCTCTGAAACATGAGCTGGAGCTTGAGGGATCGCCTGAGGGATCCCCTGCATGACTGGTAGGTCGGCAGCCACTGTTTCCTGGGGAGAGATCTGTTCTTCGTCGCCGCCATCTTGGGTCTCGCCTTGCTGGCTGAGACCTCGAGTTTGGCTCGCCCTTACCCCAAAGAAATTGTTTTTGTCGCCCCTCTCTGTCTGGTGACGTTGCTTGGGTTGGGACATGCTGCAGCGGCGGGTTTTTCCGTATCGGGTCACCTTTTATTATAAGTTACGGCCTTTGCAGCACGGAGCTCCGGCTACATGCGACCGCTCGCTCCGGAGTCCAGGACACGCCCCCATGATTTATTAATTTTGAGATGAATGTATTACACATAAATGCAAAAGAATACATTTCGCTAAAAATGGACACAACCTTTTTCTTCCCTGATTATTACCAAACTTACTATTTGAATTACTACCCATTCTCACTCTTAACTCATGAGTGTTAGGTATACACAGAGGAAACATTTTTGGGGCATTACATATTTGGAATTATTGTATAAATAAAACAATTGTTCTTACGAAAAAAGAAAAAGTATAATATCATGAAGGAACATTAAGCAAGAATACCTAAAGGCCAACAGACTTTACTAGATAGAGTTCTACAGAGACAACATGAACGCTAACATCCTTTGGAATCTAATAATTCCCCTATTTTACATGAATGTAATATGAAAAGATTTAAATTGCCATGTTTCAAGCTCATGAATGACGTAGCTAGCTATTCCCTTCTTCGTGTAATATAAACGAGAGATTAGAAAGAAAAAAATCCTTTAATATTCTTAATCACTGGTTTCTTTATAATTTTAGGTTACACCTGTGATTCTAGAATTGAATGACTAATCCTTTTTTTTTTTTTTTTTTATCTAAAACACAAAGCTTTTTATTATATATAAAATATGGTTGTCATGGAACATAAGGTAAATATAAAACTTAGAATTATAACTGAATGAAATTAGATTCCTTCCCAGTATAGTGTTTTAAACTTTTAAGAGCAATAAACAAACTAAAAGGCCCATATTTAATTAGCATTCATTAACTACTCACTAAATTATTTGGTTTGTTTCAGAAACGTGTAATGTGGGTGTAAGGTAGATTTGTACTTAATCAAAATAAATTTTAGCCTTAAAAACTATCATCAATTCAGGGGTTTAATATTTTTGATTATATTATAATATATAAATTATTATTAAGGGAGCAAATTAGAATTTGCTTAATATTTGCTGTGCAGGAAGCTGAGTAGTTGTAAATGCAAGCTTTCACAACAAGTACAATTTTATAATTATTTTAACCTAACTGGAATGTAAGAACTAAAGTGTCTGTATATTTATATATAAATATAATATGTATGTGTGTATCATACACAATTTAGCTCTTAAGAGTCCTGATTGCACATGTTCAGGATCTGCTCAACCAGCTGTTAATATCTTTATTTGCTTGAAGTTACAGATATGCGGCTTTATTGACATCAATGGGTTGAGTGGGTTACTCGCACTCAAACATAGGAATATGTACAGGGTGTGCTAGGGATTCCGTGGAACACTCTATTTCAGTCACATGAAGTAGTGGGCATAGTCTGGTAGCGTAGACACTAAATTATTTAATGACTTACATTCAACAAAAATGATGCCACATTCAGCATTCCACTATCAATTAAGATTCCTTGGCGATGTACAGTATCATATACAAAGTCAGTCATTACTTAAATGTAATTACTCCTAGAACTTTTGAATGAGCAATCCATACCATGACAACAATTAGTCCTTCATTTTTGGTTAAATCCGAATATTATTTACATACTTTCATTATATAAGTCAGTGTATAGAAATTCAGACTATCCTACAACCATTTTGGTTCCAAAGGCTATTAATATGTATACTTACATTCTCAAGTGCTTTATAGCTATAGATACGAACATTTTTCATCTTGGAAAGCTATTGAATTTAAAATATAGTATAGTAAGTATAGTATGCCCAGTGCATGGACATTTTCAGATATCCATAAGATTATTCACTAAATTAGAAATTCAAGATTTAGACCAAAATAGCCTAATTGGTTTCCTAAGGGAAATTCATATACACTTGACTGCACAGCAGTTTCACGCTGGACATCCTCATACACAGTGTTATGACATCCAGCTATTTTCACAGAGTCAAACAACAATTTAAACACTGTATGGTACAGGATCTAAACCCATGGTAGTCCTTATATTGAGACTCCAGACCCCTAAAGCACTTTTGCTTGCTGAAATGCTTTGTTTGAAGAGTGTGTCCTCTTTTTTTTATTTTACACAAAGTGCAGATTTCAATAGAAATTGGCACTTATATAAATTAACCTTGTTGCACCCTGTTAATCAGACAACCTGTCCTGTAACTTTCTGATTGTTTAGTGCAGTGGAGCTAAACTCAAGATGCAGCAATTGCCCAGAGCCCTTTCTCATTGAGCTGCACTTGTAAGTCTGTGATTGGACAGCCACAGAAATTCTGGGCAGGATTAGAAAGGGAGGGCTTGCAAAGACTTCAGACAAAATATATGCAGCTGCTGCAAGCTATTTATAGATGTACACCCAATGAAAAAATGCTTAATTAAATGCATGTTTTCATTGGTGTACATCTACTAAACTGTTATTAAGTGTACTTGCATGGCAAGACCACTTACTATTATCTCACATATATACTATTATTATAGCCAAATTTAGCACCATAACTCCTCCCACAGTCTTTACACTACATAGACAGTAATATACCGAAACGTGCAGATTGTTCCCGATCGGTGTGCTATTACTTTGTGGAACATTTCGCTGAATGGTTCACGAAATATCATCGTTTTTGTGGCAAAATTGGTCCCATAGGAATGAATAGCGGAATGTACAAAACTAGAGTGGGAGCTGACAAAAGCTAGAGTGTGAGCTGAAAAATCAGGACATGATTTCTAAACGGCCACCACTCCCTCATTTTCAAGCCCACCTACACAAATCTTATATCAAAACATTCAGCTATCCCTGCTGCCACTAAAAATGCTAAGCCATAGTCCTGATAGTTTTTACAATATGACCATTTGTTTGCAACTCACACCGTCCATTGACATTCATTGAAACTCCACTCTAGCCACCTCAAATTTGAAGGGTAATTTCTAAACTGCGACTGTGCCTTAATTTTTAATATTTCAGAGACATACTATGCATCAAAGGATTTATAGTTTTTAAACTACGACAATTTGAAGATGGCAACCACCAGTGAAATGGGCAATTTGGAGCAGTTTGTTTTTAACTGCTCTTCTCTGCCCTTGCTGTATACTGAGTTGCCATAGGAACCCAGGTGTGTGAGCAGCCAGCAGAGTGTTCAGGAACACAGAGGCTGCTAGATGAAACACATTCTCTAAACTGCTGTCATTCCTACAGTTTTAATAACACAAAAGTGAGCACTATCACATTTAATAAATATATTTCCATGTTAGTCAATTCGTTTTACCTGTAACAGAAAAACAACAAAACAGTTAATCAATGTTTCATAAAGTTACTCTGTCAGTCCAACCTTTCCACAGCTACTCCAGCCACTCCAACCACACAACAGTTACTCAAGCCACTCCACCCAGTTTCTCAGCCCACTTCAGTTGTAGACTACTGGTGGAGGCAAGAACACTTCACACAATTTCCCCAGAAATTGGAGATTTCGATTTTTTTATTTATTTATGTTTTTAAACTTATTTGAGTAGTAAAGTCCTCTTTATGAATCAAAATTATATAAACATTTCTTATTAAGAAAGTCAAATATTATAATTGGCTATTGTAATGCAATAACAGCTTTACCTTACTGGCCATGCCCACAGACTCTAAAACACACCTCTAGGGCTTAAAATTTGAAGATTGAGAGGTATTCATGACTGGACTGTCAGTATAGTTAGCATCAGAATGGTGCGCTGCAAGATATTTCTACTATATGTAAGGAATTTATGGGCCAAACATAATACGCTACAGCTCATTGTACTAATCTAGTTTTATTGTTTCATCATTGTGATTAATTATTCTCACTCTGGTGTTCCTCACCATAGCTATATTGCAAAAAAAATCTTAAAGCTCTGTTTTAAAATAATATAGATTCCATGTTTCTTTTCATGACTCCTCTAAAGTCGCAGTTGTAATGTATTGTTAATATTATTGGTACTATTATTGTTATTATCACATTAATCAGGATTATTAGGTGTCTTGCCTATTCCATTCACAGTGTAAAAATAATCTGTTCATGTGATGCATTTATAATTATGTTTTGAAGAAATGTTTCAGGGAAAAAATGTAAAGGCGCAGTGGAGGTATGCTGCCATATGTTATTATAATGAAATGCAAATAATTTATCTAAGGAAAATGTCCGGTGCTTTGCAGTGTTGGTCCCCCCGACTGTTTGCAGTCCAAATGACTGTCACTATTAGAAAAGCAGCCTGATGACATTTTGCAAAGTCCTATTACAGACAGCATGGCAAGGGGCTAGAATTGAATATCCTTAGATGGGTTTAGGTACATATAAGTAGTGGAGGAACTAACATAGAGAGGGCTCCAGTTCAAGATTATGTTTTTTGGGCCCCCTTGTCACAAGGAAGGCCAAGATCCCCATCTTTATACCAGTCCCATAATGCTTTGCTAGCTTGTAATCTACTATTTGCTCATTCCTGAAGGGTTGTATTTAGCACTTGGCAGTGTTTGTGTATTTTAATCTAAACTTGTTTTTGTATTGAATATGTATGTGTTTGTAGGGGTGTATTTGAGTGTACTGTTGGCATTTGAAAGCAGTTGTGTGTTTTTAATTACTGTTGAAAGACATTTGAAAGCAGTGGTGTACCTGTGTGTAGTGCTTGCTTTTGAATTCAGGGGTGTGTTTATATGTAATGTCGGCGTTTTACAGAAGTGTTTTGTATGTAATGTTGATGTTTGCATGCAGAGGTGTATTTGTCTGTAGTTTTGATGCTTGAATGCAGAGATGTATGCACATATGCACATAGACTGATACATACACACACACACTGATACACATACACACACTGACACACATACAGATACACAGACATGCTCACTGATACACATTCAGATACACAGATACACACACACACACACACATACAGATATACAGATATGCAGATGCACACACTGAAACACATACAGTGAGGGAAAAAAGGTTTTGATCCCCTGCTGA